GAAGAGGAGGTGGCTCACAGAAGGAACCAGGAACAGCCACTAAGATGCAGTGGAGCTCCTGCAGGGTGTCCATCTGATTCATGCTGAGGGAGAGAGGGCAACACATCCCCACTGCACTGGCCTGTGGACACATAAAGAGCAGGAGGTAAGAAGGAGCAGAGTAGAAGATGGAAAGAACATCAAAAGCTCTGTCATGACCCCTCATGTTGCAGTTATTAGGCATGTGAGCAAGAAGCACAACAGTGATGCCCATTTCCTGAAAACTTTGCCAAAAAGAATCCAATCAGAAATGACCCAAGTGAACATCACCTGACCACAAGGGATGCCACCAGCCCTTGATCAGAGCGTTCTGCCATTTTCTGCCCCGGAAATCACTGACCATCTCATCATAGCAATTACAGAAGGAGACCTTCATATAGGAAGCCATATGGCAGAAGCCAGGAAATGAAAAGGCAGCAGTGCAGGAAACAAGTACACAGCCCCATTATTAGCTTGGATGGTTAGCATTTACCATGAGCTGGTCACAAAGTAACCACTTCCACAAAGTTGCCTCTGCGCCTGAGGCAGGGCAGGACTGCTATAAAAGGCAGCGCAAGTCTCTGCTCTCTCATCCACCTCTCTCACCTCCTCCTCTTAAGGAAACAGGTGAGTGGGAAACCTCTTCTAATCCTCCTCCTGCTGCTCCTTCCAGAGCAGCTCTTGCCTGGCTGGAGGTCTCAGCTGAGAGGGGCTGTCATAGTGCAGGACTGGGAGAGGGCAGAGGGGAGAAGGCAGGAGAGGAGGTCTTGTGCAGACAGAGAGAGGCTGGCTCAGGTGGCTCCTGGGCTTTGAGCTGGGCACTGCAGGGGGGGCCAGAAGGTGCCCACATTGTGCAGGGTGTTTGGTGGTAGCGCTGGTCCTCCTTTTTCCTCACTTTGTGCTTCTCCCTTCCATCCATCCTAGGTACACCTGTGACCTCAAGCCATGTCCTGCTGCAAGCCCTGTGACCCTTGCTGCCAGCCCTGTGGCCCCTGCCCACTGGCCAGCAGCTGCAATGAGTGCTGTGTCAGGCAGTGCCAGGACTCTCATGTCGTCATTGAACCCTCCCCTGTGCTGGTGACCCTGCCTGGGCCCATCCTCAGCTCCTTCCCACAGAACACCGCCGTGGGATCCTCCAGCTCTGCTGCTGTTGGCAGCATCCTGAGCTCTCAGGGAGTGCCCATCAGCTCTGGGGGTCTTGACCTCTCCTGCATCACCAACTGCTATGGTGGCAGCAGATGCCGTCCCTGCTAAATCTGCTAGCAACATCCTTGGGCACGAACATCCAAGACCTCAGAACCCAGTTCTGGGCTGAAGATAGAGCTTTGGGACATTGTAATTAGAGTTTCAAGCCGCTGTGCCTTTCTTCTCCTCTCTCCTCTCCATCTCTTTATTTTGCCATCTGTGTGTCCCCAGACCAACATGGGAGAACTTGTTGCCCTTTCTCTTCCTCCCTCTTTAGAGTGAGCAGATGGACACACTGCAGGAACTCTACTGCATCCTACTGATCTTCCACGTGCACTCTCTGAGGCACCTCCTTTTCTTTTCTGGACTTAATAAAGCTGTTTGGCAACCAAGCCATGGCCTCCAAATCCTCCTTCTTTCCATGGCAACTCTTCCAGTCAACTCAAGGAAAAAGCTGGAGAAAACAAGGGACTCCCTGCAGTGAATTTTACTTCATGACTTTTCTTTGGGAGCTGTCAAAATCTTCCCTGGCTACCCCACAGAGAATGGCCTTCAGGGAAACCCTGGCTTTGAAGGGTCGCAGCAATAGAGATGGGAAACCAAGTTCTGGGGACAGCCCACAACTTCACATCTGCCTTCTCCTCCCTTCCATCATACGGTCTACAGGTCTGTGGTTCACACAGATGGTCAAAGACAGATGAGATATGCAACCCATACACTTCTTCATCTCCTGGCAAGGCCCAGCTGCCTTCCAGATGTGTGAGGCTGAGGTGAATCACAAGCTGATATCAATATCTGCCATATTCAGGCTATGCAGGAGCAGTCCCCATTCCTGTGAACCGAACACCCCCATGGGCTACTGTCTCGATGAGCTCTTGGTCTTGCTTTGGGAAAGGCTTCTTCATTTTTGGGTTCTCTTTTTGTTTGTGTTCCATGGTCTCAGAGAGACTACAGGTAGCAGTTTTGAGCTCTCTGGAGGTGAATCACACAGGAGCTGCCTGTCGCCACAGACAGCCATGCTCCAGCAAGCTGGTCAAGATGGATTAGCCCCCACTCCAAGAAAGAAGAATGTGGAAACAGAGACTCTTTCTCTTTCATGGCAAATTTTTCTTTTCTTCACCTTCTTTTCTCTATTTCTTCACCTTTTGGTGAAGGTGGGATCTTGGCTTTGAAGGCAGTTACTTTGGATTTACGACTGTAGCCACTTGTAAAGACTGCATTTCACCATTAGCAACTTTTTTGAAATGATCCTCAAAAACTTTCCAGCAGTGAAAAAGTGAGCAAGTTCCTGGGGTCACACCACCCTGTGCTGCTGTGGACAGACCTGTCCTTTCCGTTCCACCACGGGCAGAGCGCAGAGCACAGCAGCAGCACCAGGGGAGCCCCATGAATGGCAGGAGGAAGTGGCAGCAGTGCAGACCCCAGTGAGCTGGCAGGTCTTCATCAGCCACTAGAACTGCTCTACAGGTTCTTGCCTTTTTGGGTATGATTTACCATTATTTGTCCCTTTTTTCCCAGGACCACATTGTCACCTGCCATATTGAAAGGAAAGGGAGTGATGCTGTCTTCCCCTTGCCCCTCAAACCATGCAGACACCTTGGGAAGGATATTTCTGGAATTTCATGTTTCTCTTGGTTCCCATGGGTTTTTTGAGGTTCAGTAATTTTGTATAGAGTAGTAATTTAATGTTAATTTTTGCCTGTTCTGTTCGTTAGTAAACTGCTATTTTTTTCACTTATATCTACTCATATTTTGTTCTTTATTGGTGGAAAGGGGTTGGTTGGAATTAAGGGAAGATTACTCATTTTAGATTGCCCAGCTCTTTAAATTATCTTAAACCAAGACAACCCCCATCAGTGAAATTTTAAAAACCTTCTCTGTTCCATTTTCTTTGGGACAATTGAAAATTTTCCCTTGTAGCTTAAGCAGTTCTGTTGCAGAGATAATATTACTGTGTACTCTGCCTCCTGATAAATGAATTTTGTCTTTACAAGTGGGCAGAGCTTGGGGTGACGGGAAGTGAAGGAGGGTTGGCTTTGCTGAGTCAAACCCCTTATCTGGAGAGTGGAGTGAAGTGATACCAGGATTAGGGAGTCCTGCCTCCCTCTCTGCCTCCTCAGTTTTTACAGGTGGATGGAGTTAAGGGTGCAGGGAGGGTTTGGTTTTGCTGCATAAAACTCATGAGGGCTGAGGACTATGACATCAAGTTTAAGGAGGTCCACCTTTTCCTCAGGGCTGAAAAACTCTAATTAATTCTTCACACCTTCCCCAACAGTGTTAATTTGCAACTCCAAAGCTCTTTGGCTTTCGACAAGTTTGTTTAACTGGTTTTTCAGGTTTTGGGCTAGCTTCTTCTGGGCATTCCATTCTCAGTCTGCCCTGAGGTGGGCTATTGTTTCAGCCCCCAAGGCTATTTGCAACTCAGTCAGATCTTTCTGTTGCTGCTCCACAACATATTTCTCTTTGAGTTTAGCCTCCACTGGTATGGATATCAGGTCTTCTCCTTTGCTGGTGGTTCCCTCTCCCATCTTTTGCCAAAGTTCAAGTTTTTCTGCAACTAACTGTAGACTTTGCCAATTTTCCTTAGTCCACATCGCTCTGTATGAAGTTGGACAATGTTTATAAGATTTTAGCAATTCTATTAGTGGATGTGAGAAACAAGGCTCACTCTTTAAAATTTTTATAAGTTTAATAAGGGATAAAAGAGACATTACCCAGTGCTGAGGTGCTTGGCAAGCTGCCAGGAGCAGACCATTAGCTTAAAACAATTTTCTTACATACTTCTCCATTACATCGGATAAATACATATTCATGAGGATTATACATATTCAAACATTCTTGTGGGTTTACATATTCAGGGAATTTTTTTGCCTGGCTCGACTTTTGACTTGTCTTCATGCCATCCTGTAGATGAAATTCATATATTTCATTTCTTCTTGAAGCTCTGTTCCATTGTTTGACACTTTCTGATAATCTGGAGGGTCAGTATGAAATCTCTCCTTGCGTTTTTCTCTTGGTATTTTTTCTCCTGGTTCTTTTCACTGTTATCATTCAGATAACATACTCCACAAGTACATTGAACCAACATAGCTCTTAAAATAAATAAAGGCATTTAACATTAACACATAGTCTGTTTTAATACTTTGCAAAAGCCTAAGCTATATATAAACTACATACTGCTTACAAAAAACAGGGTCCATCATCTTTAACTGATACTCTTGGGCACTGGTTTGGTCAAAAGGGAAGTTATCAGTGTTCAGGTAACATCCATCCACAAGTGGAAGAAATATGGACCTTTAGTGAAGCAGTAAGTCATTTGCACAAACTGAACCAAAAATCATTTACCACTGTGTACCCTGAGTATGGCTGATCCCAATTCCAACTTGTGAATTGTCTCAGCCCTGCATTGTCTAGACAGCAGCTTTGCCTGTCTGTGCTGAGGGAGTGCATCTCACCTGCCTGTGCTTCTATTTGCATGCCGTGAGCCGTGACCAGGAAAAGGAAAGGTGGAGAAGGAAGAGATGAGGTTGTGGGCTGGTCTCAGGAATTGTTTTTCCCTTCCCCATTCCTGCCACCCTTTAGAGGGAGTCTCCCAGCCTTTGGCTGCTGAGAAGCTATGGATGACTTAGTCACCTCCAAGGGAAAAGGCACAAAGGAAAATCTACTACATGGAATCCCACCATTTTCTTTCTCCAGCTATTTTCCCTGAGCAGACTGAAACAGTTGTTACAGAACGAAGGAGGATTCAGAGGCACATACATGAATGCAAAAAAAGCTTTATTGAGTGTAGAGGAAAAAAATACTCAGAGTGGCTCAGAGAGGGCACCAGGAGCATCTACTAAGATGCAGTGGAGGTGTCCCTCTGCTTGGCCTGCAGAGGGAGGGGAGGGCAACAAGTCTCCACTAGACTGGCTTGAGGAGACATGGACAGAAAAGGAAAGAGCAAAAAGAGACAGGAGAAGAAAGGGACAATGGCTTGAAATTCAAATTACAATGTCCCAAAGCTGTCTCCTGACCAGGACCAGATGCTGAGGCCATGGAGGTTCTTGCCCAAGGTTGTCAGCAGATTTAGCAGGGACGGCACCTGTTGCCACCATAGCAGTTGGTGATGCAGGAGAGGTCAAAGCCCCCAGAGCTGATGGGCACTCCCTGAGAGCTCAGGATGCTGCCAACAGCAGCAGAGCTGGACGATCCCACGGCGGTGTTCTGGGGGAAGGAGCTGAGGATGGGCCCAGGCAGGGTCACCAGCACAGGGGAGGGCTCAATGACGACGTGGGAGTCCTGGCACTGCCTGACACAGCACTCAGTGCAGCTGCTGCCCAGGGGGCAGGGGCCGCAGGACTGGCCGCAGGGGTCACAGGGTCTGCAGCAGGACATGGCTGGGGGTCACAGGTGCACCTAGGATGGAAGGAAGGGAGAAGCAGAATGTGAGGACAAACGAGAACCAGTGCTACCACCAAACACCATGCAACCAAGGCACCTCCTGGCCTACACTGCAGTGCCCAGCTCAAAGCCCATGAGCCACCAGAGCCAAGTCCCAGCCTCTCTCTGTCTGCACAAGACCTTCTCTCCCCTGCCCTCTCCCAGCACAAGCAGCTCCCAGCCCTGGGCTCTTGTAGCCCCTCTCAGCTGAGACCTCCAGCCAGGCAAGGACTGGTCTTGAAGCAGCAGCAGGCGGTGGAGGAGAAGCGGCTTTGCACTCACCTGATTCCTGAACAGGAGGAGGTGAGAGAAGTGGATGCGAGAGCAGAGACTTGGGCTGCCTTTTATAGCAGACCTGCACTGCCTCAGGCGCAGAGGCACCTAGTGGAAGCCATAATTTTCCAACCAGCTCATGTCAAATGCAAACTATCCCAGCTAATAATGGGGCTGTGTCCTGTTTTCCTGCACTGCTGCCTTTTTATTTCCTAGTGCATTCCACGTGCTTTCTTTCATGCAAACTTCTCTAAGTGTCAAGATGAGAGGTTCATGAACTTCTGGGTACAAAGACATCAGAATAGGCACAATGCTCAGATCAAGGGCTGGCAGCATCCCCTGTGGGCAGGTGATGTGAACCTGTTTCATGCCTGTGGATTTGTTTATGACAAAGTTGTCAGGAAATGGGCACCACTCTTGTGCTTCTCACCTTCATGCCCAAGGTCTCCATTGTTTGGACACTTGACAGAGCTTCAGGTTGCCATTTCCTTCTTCCACTTTTCTCCTTCTTTTGTTTTGTCTTTATCTCCTTGGGCCAGTCTAGTGAGGATATTTTGCCCTTTCTCCTTCCACAGGAGAGGCTGAAGGACAACCTGCAGGATCTCCTCTGCATCTTAGTGTCTGTCCCTCATACTCCTAGTAGGAACTATTCCAATCTGCTCACGAAAAGATAGAAGAAGAAGAGGATGGGAGTACCTACAGTGGATTTTACTTTGTGCCCTTTCCCTTGGACCTGATGAAGACATCCCCTGCTACTCTATAGCCAATGGTGATTAGACCACCAATCCAAAATATACTGGTAGTGGAGATAGAAAACAACAGTGCCTGGGAACAGTTCACAGCTTTATCTCTTCCTTTTCCTCTGTCCTGTTGCCTGGTGTACATGGCCAGCACACAGGTACCGATATATACCTCACACCTCCTCTAGCACATGGTTAAAGGGCCCAGCTGCTGTTGTTACATTCAGTTCTCAGATATTTCACAAGTTGGAATTGGTATCAAGCACACTCAAGTTATGCAATTGTTGTGTGTTGACACTTGGCACCCAGAAGAGTCGCTCACTCACCCTCTCCTGCTACAGCTGGGCAGTGGAGAGGGAAAAAAAATATAACAAAGGATTTATGAGTGAGATAAGAACCAGGAGAAAACACTTCAAGGGCAAAACAGGCTTAACTTACAGTTTCAAAGTGACTTTATTACAACCAGAATCAGAGGAGGATAATGAGAAGCAAAATAATCCCTTTATACATCTTTTTACCACCATCCTTCCCACCGACAACGCAGTGAGATAGGGCATGGGGGTTTTTGGGTCATTTCATCACTGAGATTTTCTTCTGCTACTCCTGGAGAGGAGTCCTTCCCATGTGAGGCCATGGGGCCCCTTCCGTGGGAGACAGTTCTCTGTGAACTTCTCCGACGTGGGTCCACTCTCACAAGCAGCAGCCCTACCACACCAGCTGCAATGGGAGTCCCTCTCATGGGCAGTCAGTCCTCCCAAAACTGCTGCAATGTGGGTCTATCTTTCCACAGGGTGCACTTCTCCAAGGACAGACTGCTCCAGCCTAGAAGCAGGGCCCCCTCTCTCTACCAGGTTTCCCACTGGATCACAGCATCCTCCAGGCATCCACCGACCCCCGCAAGGGCACCTTCCCCATGAGCTGAGGGTGGATCTCTGCATCTCCCATGGATCCCCATGAGCTATGGGTGGATCTCTGCATCCCCTGTGGATCCCCATGGGCTACTGGGCCACAGCTGTTTCACCATGGTCATCACCACATCCTGCAGAGGAATCTTGGCTCTGGTGCCTGGAGCACCTCCTGCCCCTCCTTCTCCACTGATCTTGGTGTTGCCATGTTGTTTCCCTCACATGTTCTCAACTCCTCCTCTTCCCTACGAGGAGAAAAACTGTGTGACTTTGTTTTGATTTTCTTCTTAAATACATCATCACAGAGGCATTACTGATCTCTCTAATTGGCCCAGTCTTGGCCAGCAGCATGTTGATCTTCAGAGCCATTAGTGATTGGCTCTTCTTATGTCCAGAAACCAAGGCTTCACCTGCTCCTAGTGAGACCCGAGCAGTGGTCTCAATTGCCAGCACTCAAATCATCTCCAGGACCTCTTCACTCTGTGTGACCCCTCCACTGTCACCCTTTGTGCCTGACCCATGCGCCAGTTGTTCACCCATCACACAATGTATTTATCCAGAAGGATCCTGTGAGAAATGGTGTCAAAAACTTCAGAGAATTGAATAAAAGATTACATCAGTTGGCTTCCATTCATCAGGGAGGTGGGTTACCTTGTTGTGAAAGGAAATTAAGTCTGACAAGGAGGGCTTTCCTCTCATGAACTCACACTGGTTGTGAAAAATGACTGCCTTGTTAATAATGTTTTTGAATACCTCCAAGAATTACCTTCTCGTTAATTTCACCAGGCATTTTACTACAAGCCTAGACTTAACACACGTGTACTCACACATGTCTTCATGGAACAAACAAAAAACTGTACATTCAAATAAGGTCAGGAAACATCATTAGCTGAGATCTCTGTTGTGGAAACGCAGTATGTCCCCTCACAGCAGAGTCCTTGGGCACGTGGAATAGAAGTACAAGAGCAGTGACCATTTTCTGACAACTTTGCCACCACCAAGACCACAGGAATGACAGAGGTAAACATCATCTCCCCACAGGGAATGCCAATAACAATTAATCTCACACTTCTGCCTATGCTGACGTCTTTGTGCCTTGGAAATCATTGATGCTCTCATCTTGACACTTACAGAAAGAGATCTTCATATAGGAAAGCACGCGGAATTAGCCAGGAAATGAAAAGGCAGCAGTGCAGGAAAACAGGACACAGCCCCATTATTAGCTGGGATAGTTTGCATTTGACATGAGCTGGTCAGAAAATTATGACTTCCACTAAGTTGCCTCTGCACCTGAGGCAGTGCAGGTCTGCTATAAAAGGCAGCCCAAGTCTCTGCTCTCTCATCCACTTCTCTCACCTCCTTCTACTCCTCTTCAGGAATCAGGTGAGTGAGAAACCTCTCCTCGTCCTCCTCCTCCAGCTGCTTCAAGGCAACCTCTTGCTTGGCTGGAGGTCTCGCCTGAAAGGGGCTACAAGAGCGCAGGGCTGGGAGCTGCTTGTGCTGGGAGAGGGCAGGGGAGAGAAGGTCTTGTGTAGACAGAGAGAGGCTGGGACTTGGCTCAGGTGGCTGCTGGGCTTTGAGCTGGGCACTGCAATGGGGGCCAGGAGGTGCCTTGGCTGCAGGGTGTTTGGTGGTAGCACTGGTTCTCATTTGTCCTCACATTCTGCTTCTCTCTTCCTTCCATCCTAGGTGCACCTGATACCCCCAGCCATGTCCTGCTGCAGACCCTGTGAGCCTTGCTGCCAGCCCTGTGGCCCCACCCCGCTGGGCAGCAGCTGCAATGAGTGCTGTGTCAGGCAGTGCCAGGACTCCCACGTGGCCATCCAGCCTTCGGCCGTGGTGGTGACCCTGCCTGGGCCCATCCTCAGCTCCTTCCCACAGAACACCGCCGTGGGATCCTCCAGCTCTGCTGCTGTTGGCAGCATCCTGAGCTCTCAGGGAGTGCCCATCAGCTCTGGGGGCTTTGACCTCTCCTGCATCACCAACTGCTATGGTGGCAACAGATGTCGTCCCTGCTAAAGCTGCCTAAAGTCTTTAGACAAGAACCTCAGCACCTGGTCCTGGTCAGGAGATAGAGGTTTAAGACATGGTATTTAGTGTCTGAGCCATTGTTCCCTTCTACTTTTTTTGTCCTTCCTCTGCTCTCCATGTCTCCCCATGCCAGCCTAGGGGGACTTGTTGCCCTCCCTCCCTCTTTTGGGCAGGCAGATGGACATCCTGCAGGAACTCCACTGCATCTTAGTGGCTGCTCCTGGTGCTGTCTGTGAGCCACCTCTGTTTCTACCTTACATTCATTAAAGTTGTTTTGCATCCAAGTTTTGGCCTCTAAGTTGTCCTTCTTTCCATGGCAACTGTTCCAGTCTGCTCAGGGTAGAGGGTGGATGGACAGAGCGTGGGACTCCTTGTAGTGGATTTTCCTTTCTGCCTTTTCCATTGGAGTTGATGAAGAACATCCCTGGCAATGACAAACACGGAAAACATGGCTCCAAAGGGTGGCAGGAATGGGGAAGGGAAACAGCCATGTCTGGGACCAGCCCACAGCCTCATCTCTTCCTTCTCCAACCCTGCATTACCCAGTCCAGGGCCCATGAGCAGCACATGTGGTCAAAGGCAGATGACACAGGTACCTCATAGTGTCCTTCAGCACCTGGCAGGACCCAGCTGCTGTCCAGACATGCAGGACTGAGGTGGTGCAGAATTTGGGATCAGCATCTACCAATCAAGTTACACAGGCCGTGGGGTCCCACCCTTAAGGTGTAGAAAAACCTCAAAGTTCATAAATGCCCATGGTCAAAAGGAATGGCAAAAGTCAGAGGGTCTGCATAAAAAAACAGTGTTTTATTTGTAAATTATACACTTAAGTGTGGATCTTGGTTATGTTACAGTAGTCCCAGGCCTACTATATAAGCACATGGCAGTGGGTTTTGGTGAAAAAGTAGCTTGGTGAAAAAGAAGAGATATAGAGAGAGAACCAGAGGAAAAGTCCTGGTACCATCATCAATCCAGTGGGTGAGATGTCAGTCCTGGTACCAGCATCTATCCACCTGTGCTAGTCCAGTCCAGTGAATGTCCAAGGTCCTGAGGGCAGTGCCCAGATTTGGAGGAATACCTTTTCATGGATAGATTTGTCTGCCCCAATTATAGGTTTCTTGCTTTCTATGCAAACGAGTTCTCATACACAGTCTGTTCTTTCAGACTTTTCTGGAAATGGGTTGGAAGTTTCAAGGGTTTTTGGTGACCTTGATCTCCCTACAGCCCATGTGCACATTGTGACCTTATTCATCTCCTTGTATTGTTTCATGTTTTGCTTCTCTTCAGGAGCTACAGCAAGGTCGGTTGGTTGTTTCAGGAAAGTGCTGTCCCTTCTCCAGCCATATCCTGTTTTTTCTCCGAGCATCTTCAGAAACTCCTGAAGGCACAGCTGGGCTCAAAATAACAGCTCAGGCACACAAAGTCCCCATGGATCTTGTTCAGTTCCCCCCATGCTCTTCCTGCCCAGACTCATGACATAGACGCCATCTGTGTCCATCTCACTGAGCACTGCTGTAGGAGCACAGAAGAGGAGGGACTCTTCTGCATGTCTCAAACCCAGATTGATGGCTGTGCAGCCACCTGAGGGTTCTTGCTAAGAAGCTGTGAGAACAAATGGGATGTGGCTGGAGGAGGGGCCATGTGGAGGTAGGACAGCACTTTTTTGAAACAAATGGCCTTTTTCTGCCTGGATACTCCATCAGCTGAATCAATTCTTGAGCCAGCACTGGTGACCTGTCTTCCTTTCTTTCTCTCATTTAATCTCTCTCTCTTGCTTCTCTTTTTCTCTACCATATATCAACAATTGTCTTTGTCTAAAACACAGGTGTCTGCCAAGGAAGGTGGGAACCTTCATGGAATGGAAAATACTATACCCTTCCCTCCAAATTATTATAACTTTGAAAATATGGGGTTGTCAGACAAAGATGGAGGAAAAAGAATAACAGTCATTTACTGTAATAAATACATGAATAACAATTCAAACAAACAACAGCAGCAAACAGACCCAGACACCCAGGCCCGGCCTCTCTCAGCCGCAGGC